ATAATTGATACAAACTGATTTTCACACACTTCATTGATTTATTCTTGTGCTAAATATTGATATTTCAATACTTAAAAAAATTATGTCTTGAGTATTTACCTTTGGGAATATCTATCATGCATTTAAATCTATTCTATTTTTAAACTTAATGGTGCCAAAACCACTCTAAAGAAAAGGACTTTTGGAGTAGTAAGAAAGACTGCAAGACATAGAATTAAATTCTGTCACTAATTTACTTTGTGATCCTCAGGAAATTATTTAGCTTCCCTGATGGATTTTTTTTTAAAGAAACATAAAAATCACTCTAACTTTAACTAAATAGTGCCTAAGGAAAGGCATTCACTAAGTAATAGCTACCATTATACCATTAAATTATGACCCAAAAGCTTTCTTTTGCCTCCTAGATTACATTTGCACAAATAAAGAATCAGTATAAGATTTTTAAAGTGTAATAATAAGTAGATTCAATTGTCAAAGAAGTTTGCTACATGCCACATCCCTTTTACGTTAGTAAATAAAAATTAATTTAAAAGTAATTAAATATTTTGAGAAATCCTAAAATTTATAAAAGATCCTGTTCAGTTTTATGAACTATCAAACTTATAAACTCATTGCATCATGAAAAGATCCCTTCCCAGATTATTAACTAGTTATGAATGTTTTTCTCCTGTTCCAGTTAGAGAAATAAGAATTGCCAAATTCTTAATTGCTAAAATACCAGATTATGTAGAGTAAATATTTCATATTAACTTTAATGCTTTGTTGTACCTGCATACCAAAATTAAGATTATGTAACATGGAGGGTCCTACTTGTTGTTGTTGGGGGTTTCGGGCCTGCCAGGTTCCCCACAACTATTTAGCCCCAAAGAAAATCACACATAGGTCTCCATAAATTATAAGCTGATTGAACTCTAGCTTCTAACTGCCTAACTCTCACATCTTGATTAACCCATTTTTCTGATCTATGTTATCCATGTGTCTCAGTACCTTGTTTCAGTGAGGCAAATCACATCCGCTGCTTTGGCGGTCTGGGCAGGAGTGGAAGTAATCAACTTTCTCCTTCCCAGAATTCTCCTGTTCTCATTACATCATTTCTACTTCCTGTCTGGTTTTCTCACCTATATTTCCTGCCTGGCCAATCAGCGTTTATTTATAACATGATTGACAGAATAAAGACAATTCTCCCAGACCTATGTGTGATTTTATTTGGGGCTAAACAGTTGTGGGGAACTGGGCAGGACAGAAACACAAGTGAGCAGGCCTGGCCCCGTTCATGTTACAAGGTTAGATTGTAAAAATGTGATGGCAGAAAGTTGAGGAGTGCTATAAAAGTGAAATGATAGTGCTTAAGGCCATGATTTGGCATTGAATTCATGTAGACCTACTGTTTTTTTAATAACTGAAACTTTGTTTGAAACTCAAGATACTAAAGATCTCATTTAAATTCCTATTGAAATTGTTTGTCCTCAGTGAGAGATACATAGCATATGTGAAACTCATCATATTATGGGAAGTACTCTTATAAAGATAAGATTATATTCAGTACAACATTTGGAGAAATAAGGGAGGTAGCTTAAAAAACAGTGCATATTTGAATTTCTGTACTTCATGAAGGGTACCAACTCTATTTTTTTAATTGCCATCAATAGTACTAAAGTTTACTTAGCACTTCTATTTTCTATATGTATTTCTTTCTGTAGACCTAAATTTTCTTTGAGTTTGCTGTTGTTTTACCTGAGTACTACCCAAACATCTAGGAAGTGGAAAAGCAACTGCAGGAATCCAAGTCTCAATTTTAAATAACTTCTTAAGAAAAAGAAACACAAAGCATGTAACTGTTACTTCTATTTTATTGTTATGTTTAACATTTTAAGTAGAAAAAATGTCATTTTAAAGCTTCATTTTAGGGAACTGAATATCTATCACCAATACAGCCTAAGTAGTAATATTAATTGCAGTTTATCAGTGTTCTAGATATTTTTGCTTTCAAATTTCTCTTGACATAGTTGTTTAAAACAAAACTTTCCCTTGTTATCGATGTTAAATATAGTTAAGCCTGAGAACACTTTCAAAAGTTGAATAAATTTGGGCATTTAAATAATTTGATATTTACTGTCCAACTCTGGCCTTTGGAGATATCTCAGTACTTGAAACTCGCATTATATTTTCTGTCCAACATTGCTCATTCTATTGAATCTTTTTAACATTTATAGAAAAGGACAAACAATTCACCTACCCTGATAAAGTACATGGTAACTTCCTGAATTCTTTGCATTTAAAATAAAATGCCAACTTGTTTTGTTAGCCATCGCCAGTTCTAAATTGCACTATGATATCTAATGCAAATTTGAACTCTTGATCTGTTTTGCTCAAATAAACAACAGTGGAGGAATTTTTCAACACATTGCACCTGTTACCTATGTAGAAGACAGATTTCACATCAGTGAGAGAAGACACACCAGTACACAGGTTGCTGTGGACTGATCCTTTAGTATTTCTTTAAGTAACACTATTTCATAGTGGGTTTCACAATGGATATGACAAATTTTACCTTTGTTGCCCACTCAATTTCTGCCTCTAGGTTGTTTTCAAAAGATAAGACGATAAAACATCAAGGCAATCGAGAGTGTTGTTAGAGGAAGAATTCTTTATGAAGTTTTGTGAAGAAATAAGTCTTCATACATATATCTATTTAAAATATGTAAATAATGTATATGCATCTCTGTTAAACATAATGTGTTCAACTAACATTTGCATTTACATGAATATAAACTGAAGGCTGCTTCATGAAATGACAAAAATTAATAAAGAAACAGAAACAGAAAGCTATATAATGTAAAAGGTAAGATATTATTGAAAGTAGCATCATGAATCCTTTGCCCACCATTTATTTGTTTGTTTGTTTGTTTTCCAAGATTTCAGGCCTTAGACATCAACCAGTTACTGAAAATGTTTAACTGTAGGAATTCAGGTATCTAACAACTCTGGTTTCAAAACTGTTGCTAGTTTTAGCTTAATGAATTTATCATTTTTAATCAAAAGCATTTCTGGATACTGGCTATGCTGGACTGTGGTGTGAGACTGAGATTTGAGTGAGTGAAATGAGCAGAGGACAGATCTCAAATAAATAGGTCTGAAAGTTGTTATGGAATTATGGCAAAGAATGAGGCTTTCAAAACTCTAGGGGAAAGTATCTCATTTATAAGTTGGACCTATTTACCTAAAGTCATTTTTCACCCAGAAAGTAAAGAGAGACTTTTTTTTTCTTAGTCAAACACCTACAAAATAGCAATTAAGGGAAAGAAGGAAAATCAAAGTTTCTTGTTTAGAAATCAAATACTTGAAAGGTGTGCAGGCAACATAACTGATATCTTCCTTCTCCCCTGGGTCCCTTTGCTTTTTTAACTAAATTGTCAATCTGCAAGAAACTGGTTTGAAAATTAGCTCTTCCTCAGGACATTCCTACTTTCGTGTGCAAATATTAATCTTTAGGAACAAGAGATTTAGATTATCTAGGGTTGATATCTGCAACCTTTAGATTTTGACAGTCAGATGCTAAAGTCTCATTAATATAGGCAAGTGGGTACTAAAGAAGTGACTCTTCTTAATCATTTTCCCTCTTCTATCTCCCTAGTGTTTCTCTGCTTTTTCACTCTTAGCAGTTCCCTCTGTTCAGCCTAAATCATATATCCTTCACCCCCTCCCTAAAGACTCCCATCTACCCCAGCCCCCGCCACCCCCAAACAAAGTCTCCTCCTGGTCACCTCCAAAGCCCGGAGAAGTGCAATGCACACAATGCCTCTGTTATAGGGCTTGAGCTCGAATCTGGGCATGCTCAGTAGCCAAAGCATCTTTTTTCCCCGTTTTTTTTTTCTATTTCTTTTTTCCCTTCCCCTTTAGTTTCAAACCCAGCATTTCTCCCTGTCCCACAGCTCTCTTTCCTCTACCCTTAATTCCCTGTCCCCTGCCTTTAGCTCCTTAAATTCCTACTTAACGCCTTTTAGCTGAAGGCCTGTGGAGTTTTAAAATACATAAAATTATTAAATCATCTCCTAACCATGCTAAATAAGCTTACTTTGGGCTAAAGCCTCACACTTTTACCTTAAAGCTTCAGGTCTCTCACGTACAGACAGGTAGGGGGAGTGCGAACACCACTGGATCCAGCAAATTAGTCCCAAGAAGGCTCCATCCAGAATCGTTGGCTACTGAAGTAGCCCCAGAGCCCCCTGTTCTGCCTGGTGACAATTAGCCAAAGGTACCATAGCCACGATAGAAAACCAAAGTACAACTGGCGCTTTTCAATGTCATTGTTGTTGACTCATCCCTCTACTCTGGAATTATTCGATTCCACCGTGGATTTGAAGACCCTAAGGTCCGTTCCCTGCCCCAGCCCCCACTCCACCTCCTCAGCCCAGGCTTTCCAAAATTTCTCTTCAATCCTCCTGGATTCTTGTTTGCTCTCTCAGCGGAACACCTCGTGTATATATCTCTCTCTCTCTCTCTCTCTCTCTCTCTCTCTCTCTCTCTCTCTCTCTCTCTCTCTCTCTCTCTCTATATATGTGTGTGTTCACGAGCGCGAGCACGCGCACAAACAATACCTTGGTAGTGTGCTGGAGGAAGAGAACGGACTCGAGAGTGCATATGTGGTAGGGTGATGGAGGTTAGTGCAACCGCGTTAGGAAACTAGGGTTCCATGGCCTGGGGATCAGGGTCGCTCCTTCCTAGGGGATGTTTTAGGCGAAAGACGAGGTGGATACCGGAAGGAAAGCGTTTGTCTTTCCCAGTGTGTGGGTAGAAAAGGACTTAAGTGTGGGTTTCTGTTGGAGGGTCAAGCGGCTCAGGAATGAGCCCGGATCAAAGTGGTTCGGGTGTCCGGAGGGAGGGCTGCGTGAGAGCGAGGGGGCGGGGGCGGGGGCGGGGATTCGGCGCGTGTATGTAAAGGTGCAGCCTATGTGCGAGGGTCTGGGTGCGCGCGCGGTGTCTGGCCGGGTGCGCGCGCGCGCCACTGCCCGCTTGCTTGCCTGCTGAAGGCTGTTCGTTGGTTTTGACCGGCTAGCGGGCACCAAGAAGCTGGATCCCGATATCTTAGAGACCGCCGCGGAAACTGAGGAGTGAGTCGGAACGCGGTGGGCCCACTACAGGACTTGGGGCTCCAGAGGTGAGTAAATTTCTAGCCCGGGCTGTGCGAGCTCCAAGGAAAGGCGCGCAGCCTCTTCCAGGCTGGGCTTGGCACAGTGCATGTGCGCGCGCTCAGAGGGAAGCAGGTATCTTATTATTTTTAGTTGGAGTCGTGTTGGTTTGGGGTCCGTTGAGTAGACAAAGTGGAAACGTTGACAAACCCCCACCCCCAACACCACACACACACACACACACACACACACACACACACCTCCCACTTGCCTATCCATGGCGTGATCTCTTGTTCTAGAGGGCTGAAAGAATCCTGGTTTCCTTAACATCCCTGCCCCTGGAGGAGCCTGGGCAGCAGGAAAAGTGTCCTGGTCTGTGGCACTATGAGCTGTCGGGGCTTCTGCTGGGCTGGGCTTTGTGCTCAGTGTCCTACTCTCAGGCACTGTGCGGGGACTTGGATGTGGTTTTTCAGGCAGTGGCCGGAGTACTGCTGGGAGACTGCTGGTACTCAGCAAGATAGGCAATATGTGTGGAAGAGCCTGTGGGTAACGCTGAGAGCCCAGCAAAGCCGGACAGCGACACTTTGCTAGGTTTCTAAATGTTGAGCTGATTTCTGCCTGGGTGGGTGAACAGGATCCTATTGCTGGCTTGGCAGGTGGTGGCAGGGTGCAATGACCCGGCCACAGCTCGAGGGAACAGAACTATAGAGTCACTCTGACTGTGTCAAATGGGTCTTTGATGCCCCAGTGCTAATACCCCTTCTGGCCTGAACTAGTCATCTCTTCTTGCACACCAACTGCATGTCCGGATCTAGAAAGGCCAAAGAAAACTCCAGCAGCTACCTCTTGTGGGATGGGAGCACGCGGAGAAATGTGTGCACAGCGGGACTGAAGGCCCCCGCGACATCGAGCACAGTACCCCGCCCCCGCCCGTGCCACCCAGCCCGAGAGGCTGCTGCTCAGGCAGGGTACCCAGAAGGGGGCTGCGCGCCTACTCTGGGCAGCAGGATGCGGCAAAACATTGCGGTACGCGCCAGTGGCCCCTCCATCCGTCGCCTCCAGCTCCAGCTAGCGCTCAATGGGGGTGACAACGGCCCGGCTCTCCACTGTTCTCCCCCACCCTACCCCCACCTCGGTTCTCAGGGAGGGGGCAGCTAAGCTTTCTCATGTCTTCTGCTATGGTGCCACATCGACTTGCTGACCCCTTTGGCAGTGGGTTGCACTCTGCAGGCTCGTTTTCTCCGCTTGGGCATGGAGCGCTAGGAGCGGCACTCTGGTGGATGATGGGTTTGTGCAGTCCTGGGCAGCCTAGGGAGCTGAAGGTCTTGCTAGGCATCACCAAGAGATGGAAATATTGAAAGGCAAATCCGACTCTCTTGGAAGCCTGAGAGGTGGTTTGGGGTTCCCAACCCATAGTTTGTATGTTTTTTTTTTTTTTCTTCTTGGTGTGTATTTTTGCTGTTCATCATGATTTTTAGACTATATTAATGGCATCTCTTTTCCTTACGGTTACTCTTCCTGGCTTCTTCTTTTTTTTTTTTTTTTCCTAACCTCGCTTTCCACAGTTCTCCAGCTCAGTATCTATTGCCCTATCACTGCCTGTTGGGCTCTCCTTGGTGGGCTGACTCTGCCTTGCTTGTTTGAATCAGCTGCTTTTGGCTTAGTCTGTTTCACTGGAATTGCATTTGGGAACTTCCTAGCTCATCCTTGCGCCTCCCCCACTCCCTTTGCTACTTAAAGTAGAAATTACTAATAAGAGGGCAGCTTCATATATTTTTCACATCTGTTACGCTTTTGTGCTGAATTCCGGTTATTTGAATTTTATTTTGTTTTGTTTTGCTTTTTGTGTTTTGTTTGTTTTTAGTTTGGTTGCATTTTGGTTTCTTTGTTTTTGGGTGGGGGTGGTTGGGAACAAGAAATGACTCAACTGAACTAAAATAGCTGTTGAAAGCTACATCAACACAAGGCAAAAAGGACCAAGGGAAATTTTGATTTTACAATTGAAGTTGTTTTGGGTGATGTCATGCTTAAAAATTATGACTTCTTTTTGCAACGACAGTCATGCTATAACAGTGAATAAAGGAAATGCCCACCTATATGGCAAACAAATAGCATCTCCGTGACGCTGGCTAGATTCTTAAAATGAAAGCCTTCCTGGATCTTGGCTAATGATTGTCTACCTTGAGTCACATTTGATTTTTACCACTAGCTGATTCCTTGTGAGGAAAAGGAGAAGAAGAAAAAAAGAATTTTTGTGTGACACATTTTTTCTTTGCCCCATTTTCTCATTGTTTAGCTGAGGAATTTATTTACTTAATTAATATTTGGTGGTGATCATATGACAGTTGCAGCCAGCTTCCTCCCATTCACTACTGGAAAGATTCACAAGCCTAAAATTGCATCAGTAAAATGGTAAAATGCATACTGTTTGTGTCCCATATGTGTTCCATTAATTTCCTTTCCATGAGGCAGAAACTCTCTCTCCCTCCCTCCCTTTCTTCCTCGCGTGCGCATGTGTGTGTGTGTGTGTGTGTTTGCACACACACACACAGGTTTTTAATGGGGCTGGCTTCAAAGGGTTAATTTTAAGCCATTAAACTCTTGCAAGAAGTAATTCTTCATTTGTTTACAGGCAGGGACATGAAGTTATCTTTTAGCGAGGGTGTTTTGGAACTGAAATATTTAGAATTGAATATATCTGCTTCTGTCAAGGACTGTGCCCAAGGACTGTGCCCAAGGACTGTGACATGTGGACTCCTCTTCCTCAGCAGTGACAGGCTGTGACCAAAGCGAAGGTGATATGCGTTTAAATGAAGGGGTCTGTAGGGACTGGGTTCAAACTGACAAGTGAAGAACAGGAAAGGACCTGACAGGCAAAAAAGCCATTTCTGGTGGGTGGAAATACTGCCTGGAAATCAGCTGAGCAGTGCAAGAATAAGCTGGTTCCTTTTCAGCTTCCAGGGACCCCAAAACATTTTAAATCTATTTTGGAAATGACAGACAGCAAAGAAGGTGCTGTTTATTAATCTGCCAGTTTTCTAGAACCCCATAGGGTCACCTGTGCTTTTGAAAGCAAATTACAGGAGCTAACTGATTCATGGCAATGTGCTTACCTTAGTACCAAAACGCAGGCAAATTTCTTTCCAGGGCACATTCCATGTAGCTCTTTTAACTGTCTTCTTTAAAGGAATCCAGTCCTCCCACTGCCATCCTTCACTGAAATCTGAGTTCAATTATGGTCTCTAACTAATTTCAGTTTCTAGCAGAAACCTAGAGAATAGATTTAAACCAATTGTGGTATGTTTGTGGTGTAGAGGACGTGAAATAAATGATGCTCTAGGTATATTCATTTTAGTTGCAAATTTCAAGCTCTAGGTTAGTGCTTAAGGGCAAATTTTGGTGGTTCAAGTTAAAAATTGAATTTATTAACATGGAAGTATAATTTAAAGTCTCTTTCCTTACCATTTGTTGTATATTCTACACATGCACAAATTACAGATATAAAGTACTGTTCAGTAGTGTACAAATCTGGCTTCCTTAAAAATTACAGTGCTAGAGATTGTAGCCATGTATTCACAATGAGATAATTTAAGCACACATACATTTTTCAAGGAATGATAATTGAAAAACTTTTCTTTTTATTTTTTAGATTATTTCTCTTTATTCAGAAGCATAGATTTGTTTGCTGATTGCAAGAAGATGTTTCTTTGGCTCTTTCTGATTGTGTCAGCCCTGATTTCTTCAACAAATACTGATTCTGACATATCAGTGGAAATTTGCAATGTGTGTTCCTGCGTATCAGTAGAGAATGTGCTCTATGTCAACTGTGAGAAGGTTTCAGTCTACAGGCCAAACCAGCTGAAACCACCTTGGTCTAATTTTTATCACCTCAATTTCCAAAACAATTTTTTAAATATTCTCTATCCAAATACATTCGTGAATTTTTCACATGCAGTTTCTCTGCATTTGGGAAATAATAAGCTGCAGAACATTGAGGGAGGAGCCTTTCTTGGGCTCAGTGCATTAAAGCAGTTGCACTTGAACAACAATGAATTAAAGATTCTCCGAGCTGACACTTTCCTTGGCATAGAGAACTTGGAGTATCTCCAGGCTGACTACAATTTAATCAAGTATATTGAACGAGGAGCCTTCAATAAGCTCCACAAACTGAAAGTTCTCATTCTTAATGACAATCTGATTTCGTTCCTTCCTGATAATATTTTTCGATTCGCATCTTTAACCCATCTGGATATACGAGGAAACAGAATCCAGAAACTCCCCTATATTGGAGTTCTGGAACACATTGGCCGGGTTGTTGAATTGCAGCTGGAAGATAACCCTTGGAACTGTAGCTGTGATTTGTTGCCTCTAAAGGCTTGGTTGGAGAATATGCCATATAACATTTACATAGGAGAAGCTATCTGTGAAACTCCCAGTGACTTGTATGGAAGGCTCTTAAAGGAAACCAACAAGCAAGAATTATGCCCCATGGGCACAGGGAGTGATTTTGACGTTCGCATTCTGCCCCCATCTCAACTGGAAAATGGCTTCACTACTCCAAATGGTCACACTACTCAAACAACCTTGCACAGATTAGTGACCAAACCACCGAAAACAACAAATCCTTCCAAAATCTCTGGAATAGTGGCAGGCAAAGCCCTCTCCAACCGAAATCTCAGTCAAATTGTGTCATACCAAACAAGAGTGCCTCCTCTTACACCTTGCCCGGCACCTTGCTTTTGCAAAACATATCCTTCTGATTTAGGACTGAGTGTGAATTGCCAGGAGAAAAATATACAGTCCATGTCTGAACTGATACCAAAACCTTTAAATGCCAAGAAGTTGCATGTCAATGGCAATAACATCAAAGATGTGGACATTTCAGACTTCACTGAGTTTGAAGGACTGGATTTGCTCCATTTAGGCAGCAATCAAATCACAGTGATCAAAGGTGAAGTGTTCCACAATCTTACCAATCTGCGCAGGCTTTATCTCAATGGCAACCAGATCGAAAGGCTGTACCCTGAAATATTTTCAGGCCTTCACAACCTGCAGTATCTGTATTTGGAATACAATTTGATTAAGGAAATCTTAGCAGGCACTTTTGACTCCATGCCCAATTTGCAGCTACTGTACCTAAACAACAATCTCTTAAAAAGCCTGCCAGTTTACATTTTCTCTGGAGCACCCCTTGCTAGACTGAACCTGAGGAACAACAAATTCATGTACTTACCTGTCAGTGGAGTCCTTGATCAGTTGCAGTCTCTTACCCAGATTGATTTGGAGGGCAACCCTTGGGACTGCACTTGTGACTTGGTAGCATTAAAGCTGTGGCTAGAGAAGCTAAATGATGGGATTGTTGTGAAAGAACTGAAATGTGAGACTCCTGTTCAGTTTGCCAACATTGAACTGAAGTCCCTCAAAAATGAAATCTTATGTCCTAAACTATTAAACAAGCCATCTTCACCGTTCACAAGCCCTCCACCTGCAATTACATTTACCACTCCATTGGGTCCCATCCGAAGTCCTCCAGGGGGTCCAGTGCCTCTGTCTATTTTAATCTTAAGCATATTGGTGGTCCTCATTTTAACTGTGTTTGTGGCATTTTGCCTTCTTGTTTTTGTGCTGAGACGCAACAAGAAACCCACAGTGAAGCACGAAGGTCTGGGGAATCCTGAGTGTGGCTCCATGCAGCTGCAACTAAGGAAGCATGACCACAAAACTAATAAAAAAGATGGACAGAGCACAGAAGCATTCATTCCACAAACCATAGAACAGATGAGCAAGAGTCACACTTGTGGCCTGAAAGAGTCTGAAACTGGGTTCATGTTTTCAGATCCTCCAGGACAGAAGGTCATGATGAGAAATGCTGCTGACAAAGACAAAGATTTACTGCATGTAGATACCAGGAAGAGACTGAGCACAATTGATGAGCTGGATGAACTATTCCCAAGCAGAGATTCCAATGTGTTTATTCAGAATTTTCTTGAAAGCAAAAAGGAGTATAACAGCATTGGTGTCAGTGGCTTTGAGATTCGCTATCCAGAAAAACAAGATAAAAAAAACAAGAAGTCACTGATAGGTGGTAACCACAGCAAAATTGTTGTGGAACAAAGGAAGAGTGAGTATTTTGAACTGAAGGCAAAACTTCAGAGTTCCCCTGACTACCTACAGGTCCTTGAGGAGCAAACAGCTTTGAATAAGATATAGGCCATGTAATCTGACTTCATACTGAGGACATTATTTAATGATGAAAGTGCCTTTTGTTGACTTCTAATTTCCAAATACTATATTATCATTAGGCATAGAGACAGGTGTTTCCAAGGGTATCTGATTAACTGTAGCTCTAAAGATGTGTCAAGTAGAAGAGACTTTCTTTAATAGATTTTACTACGTAAAACGTATACTGTGGAGTCCTGTGGGGATACTGCAAACTCTATTGCCAAAGGGATGCTTTATAAATGTAATATACTGAATTTAACCTTAAGAGGCAAATCAGTTTTGTACTCTGATACAAAACCTTTGTCTCTTTTTGCTTTGTAAAGCAAACTCAAGAAAACTGGTACCAGTGTTTGTACCTCAGCTGGGTCCTTCATCTTGCACGTAGATTAAGTTTGGTGAAACTGGAATAACCCTTCTTGATTTGTGGCATTGTAACAACTCTGTGTAAAGATTACCTGAAAAGTGTACAAAACAAGCATGCAAAGAGAGAACATTTGATAGTATTTGTAAATTGGTAAAATATATGGCCTGCATCTTGAAACTGCTGGATTTATAATGTTAAATTGTGCAAATACTTGTTTAAAATATATCATGCATTACATAACTATAAAATAAATTTGAACACTTTAAATATTACCTGTCTATACATAAAATCCTAAAGGAGAAAAAAATCAATGTGAGTTGCATAGCATTTGTGGTGATCTAGAGAAAAATATGATGTTTATCAGAATTAAACATGGCTCAAATTAAACTAGAGTTTGTTCTCAGTTATGTCAAATACCCACAATCCTTAAAGGTTGTCCCAAATTAGCAAAGTGCTTACCGTGTGAGCGCACCCAAAGCTATTTTTGTAACATAATTCATATTTATGAAGTACTTTATATACTAAATAGGAAAACATGTACTCCTTAATATGTATTTAATATGCCCGACTTATATTCCTGATCACAGCAAATTTATCAGTAAGTATAAATTGCGATAAGAAAAAAATATTAAAATGAAACTGAAGCTAATGTGTACAGAAATATTTTGGGCTCTCTGATCAGGTGTAATTTAAAAGTAGAAAAAAAATACAAAAAAATACCCACAAAATTTAAAAAAAAAAATCTGTGCTATTCTTGTGAATTTAGCATATTATCTTCAGATTTGTTACCAACTGTGCATTTTAAAATTAGCTCCTTAGTTTTATAGTACTGTGTCTGGGGCAGTTGTTATTTGCCATCAGTTGTCTTGCTTTTCAGGATTCTATGAGCTTAATTCAAATAGTTTTAATTACAATATTTAACAAAATAATGACTAAGGTTAATCTATCTTGTATGCATCAATATCCTGTTCTTTCATCATTCTGACTACTATCAGATAATCTAGTAGAACTGTAAACATCACAGCAAATCTTGGCTATCAAAGCCACAGTGTAAAATGCTTGCACTGGACTCGGATGAATTCATGATCTACAACTACAGCTGATATGCCCCTGTGTTTGTGTGTGCTGTTAAGTTCTAGATCAAAATTGATCAAATGAATGAAGTATTTGATAATCTGTTGATATCTGAAGATGTTTAATATCTCTGATTAGAAAATCAATATTCTGAAACTCATTGCCTTTGCCTTCTTGTCCAGTTTTGTGTGCGTGTGCGTGTGTGTGTGTGTGTGTGTTGTGGTGTGATTAATTATTGTATTATTCAGTAAGGAAGCCAAGAAAGCAAACAGGTATTCTTCATGAATTTCAAATAGCAGATATTTTGGTGTAGCTTCTAAAAGGATATTACAGTTAACGTTGTAACAACAATCCCTTTATTAAATACTAATTTCAAGATTTTATTTGTTGGTTCCAATTTTTTAAAGAAAATCTGATATTATTACAAGTGTATGTATATGTGTGTGTGCACGCATGTGTATTTGGGTGTATATTCATATATATATAGTTAATTTGGAGGATTTTTTTAGATAGCAAATAAAATCTCCCTATGTATGTGCTGGTGCTCTTAAAACTTTAATGTGTAATTTTCAGTTTCATGACAATCTGTGAAACTTTATATAAATATAAGTACATCCAAACAAACAATGCTTTCTGATATTGAAAGAAAAGAAGTGCGTTCAAATGCTAATTTTCATCTGCAGTTTCATAAGGACATTTAATATGCCATTACCACGCATGCATGCATCCATGGATTAAAGGGCTCCTAATGCACACTGACAAGGTAAAGATGCAAAGGCTTCCAACAAAGTGTTTTTGTTTTTCCTGTCAATAAAGTGTGAATTCAGAAATCTTAAATGGACACTTATAGGAGGAACCAGTAAACTCCATGCATAATCTGGGACTAATAGGTTGTTGGGATCATGCCTTTTTATTCAGTGTGATGATGCTTGGAAGATGTTTCAAGGTTTCTGCAGAATTGTCAGCGGCAAGAGTACCTACCACCATCTCAAAGCTTGCTGTAGTATATCAGCTATCTCACACTCTACTGCTGAAAGCTATAAATGCTCAAAAACTTTTAAGAAAAAAAGAGTAATTTAACTGTATGTGCTTATTTGGAGGTTCTACTTGTAAATGGAAGTTAATGAATTCTTGGTTAAGGCTAATATGCTGTCCTTAACTAAAGTCATTGTGCCTACATTATACAGTGTATGCTATTTTGCACCTATCATTAGTTCTTGTATCATTTATGGTACTGTAGTTATGTATAAATTCTTAGTTGAGTACAAGAGCAGTTTAAATACTGTATCTGTGTTTTTTGGCTTCAGCCTATATTCTTGATGTAGTTTAACCCCTTCAGATATGATATGTACATGGTAAGACATTTTTTTAGTAGGCTTTGATTCAAATCTTAAAAAGCCAAGAAGTGATCATCTCTAATGTGGTATAACACATCATGGTATTCTTGGCATTGTATTCTTGTGTATGAACTGTGTTAGAACAGTTGCAGAGAACACTAGATCTTATGAAATTAGTGAAGGGGTGAGATAATATATTGTGTCCGTGTAATATAAATCAAGTTTTAAATTATTTTTTTATGAAATCAATAAAAATGATTCAATTCTTTAAAAGTAAATCTTTGTGTAATTTTATGAGAAAGCAGCTATTAAAGTACAGTGATTCAAATACATAAGGAAATTTATATCCTATACTTCGTTTTCCATTCTAAATAACACTATCAACAAATATGTTAATTGAAAAGATATTACAGACCATTACCATTTGTTGCTTTTCATAAATATTTAGTTTTGTGCTCCATAAGGAAGCAAAAATATTAAAGGATATGGCCTCATGAGTAATGCCACAGGTATTTCAGAAATATCAAAGTCAATATAGAAATGTATAGTGATATCTAAAATATCATTTGCAAGACTTACATGGATCGTTTCTGAAATGAACACAGTGAAATTTTCTTTCATCTTTCATTTTTTTCTTTAATTTTTTCTCATCATTGCATCCAAAGAGTTAGGAAGAAAATATATTAAGAATGTATTTATAATTACTATTTTGAAATAAAGTAGAGAGTATGTATTATATTGTTTTTACCCTGGTTCAATTATTTCTATTTTAGATTAATTAATAAAAGCAGGTGATGCTATAAAATCTAATGTAAATCACAGAAAGAACAGTTCTAATGAATTTTGTTTGCTTTGAATTACACCAAGGTATTAGAATTTATTAAATGTCATTTTTCTGGAACCATTAATAAAATTGTTTGGTACAAAGTTATTTCTGAAGCCACTGTTTGTTAAGGATATTTATCTTTTCATTGTTTTTCAGAAAAAAATAAATAAAACAGTCACCAAACTGATTATATAACTCAAATTTAAGGGTGATATATATGTGTATATATATGTGTGTGTGTACATATATATAGCTTTATAATACTGTTTACAATTAACTTAATTTTTAAGCCTCTGTTAAAAGATTTTTTTTCTTTATAAACGTAGTTTCAATCTGTATTCCTTTGTAGTGGCAGTCCCTCAGAGAACAGTTGTCACACAGTGTCAAAATCAACATACTCTGATCCTTTTGTATTCTCATCATTTAGAATCCAACATAACTTCAAATAGGCAAATATTAGTATTCACTCTGAACTATCAACTCAAATATTTTCATAGAAACTTCAGAACCTCTACATTCCATAGCAAGCTTGACTAATTTCAAGTTGCTTACACACTTAATGACTATTTTTAACTTAGCTTCTTTTAAGGTAACCAAAAATATCAGTCAATTTCTTGATATATTTTCTGTGGTTGAAAAAAAATGAACTAATTGAATTATTGTTAAATTGAGTGAAGAAAAAAATATTGAAAGACTGCATATGCCATAAAGTGATTTTAAATCATGTATTCTTAAGCTAATTGAAAAAAGAGTGCACAGAAGTATAAAATGAGATTCCTGTGGCTTTATAACTATACATAAACTGTGCTGGAAGTTGACACAATATAGATGGGAAGCACAAGGTTCTCAACCACTCCAATTTATAGACAAGTGACATCAAGTCAAGAGCCATACTCATGTTCAGTGTTCATTCAATTAGTTACAGGTCAGATGAACTGAACTGAACTGTTGGCAGTGTCCCTTACTAGGAATAGTTTCAAATTTAACTTACAATTGCTATCTCTCAATTGCAGATTTCTAGGGGATCTCCCTTTTGTTAAATTAAAACCAAATGGGAGATTAAATGAACCCAAATAACTTATTTGTGTTTAAAAAAGCTATGTGTAGTATAAATTTTAATTTAATTTTATTATATTATTTTCCTTATTTTATTTAGTTTCTAGTGATTTATAGAATATTATTGGAGAAGGAAAAATTAAAGAAATTGGCTCTATTATCTTTTATATGAAATACTATGGTATTCTATAATTTTGCAAAACTTTTTTTATTTTGTTGTTCTTATATTTACACAGGGGAAATGCATTGAAGATCTGAGGCAATTGAATACTTTGGGTTCAGAAAATATGACACTGGGAATATAAAAGATCTGAGTTCCACATTATTTGGTAATTACAAGTTACAATTGCAATAGAACCCAGAACCAAGAGATAACAAGTAAATATTCCACTATAGTTTGCTTTTGTAGACATTGCTTGCACATAATCACAAATTCTAGCCATTCTAATATTATGATATAATGGAAAATTAATTTAAAATTTATGAATAAAGTTCTTAGAGAGATAATGGGAGTATGTAATGAATAAATACCTGCCTTTACTTTTAAATTGGCTATAGAGATTTAAGGAAGTCTTTTAGAGTACCTGAACAATGTATTTCTCTCAGGAACTCACAAACAAAAATGCTGTTGGTAAACATCTAAGGAACCCATGTTGTGCAATTGATATTAATTATGGAAACATTTAAGAATTGCATTAAGCATTTTCCTCCTTACTAAGAAATTACAATGTATATTGACACCATTGTTTTATGTGAACTGAATTATTGTGCTAAAATTCTGGAGTTGTTATGGAGTAACTTTAATGCTGTTTTCAAGAATAAAAGTCTTTTCTTATAGGTCATATGTGTAGCCATTCAGTGTTTTTATTAGTCTTATTTTAGCAAAGCTCAAGTACAAAGAGAAATTCAATTTATTTGCTATTTACTTGGTATGGGGTACCCTATTACTTTACATAAAATAAGTATGAAAGTTATATCTGTACATATTCACATGCACACAGAAAATAATACACACAAACACTGAATGATATACACAAATACTAGTTATTATATATTGAAATGTTCCTGACTTATTTAAATGTTACAGATATCATAGTTATTTCATCCTCATTGATAACTTTTTTTCATTTTAAATTGAAACATAACCATTGTATAGTATATAGTAGTAACTGAACTGAGCTTATCACCTCGGTTTTCAGTCACACAATTGTCAAGTGATTTGATTTTTGGTTTTCCTCGTTTATTCCATTTCTCATTTGGCTCATAATTAGTATGCTTATTAAATGAGTATCACGTGCTATTTACAGAACACCAGCCATGATGCAAATCAAGCTTGCTACAAGATGTATAAACAAGCTCAGAGAAGCATGTGGGTACTATGTATATCGAATCATCTATATAAAAAACAAGGAATTCTTTGGTGAGATTTGTGATTAAAAATTACGAGAACATGCAAATCTGTTTTAAAAGAAGGACAATTTGGTTGAAACTGGAGACTAGAGATTAGGTAGGACAATAAGGTCAAAGAAGTATTCACAAAAACAGATATCAGATCTCAAAACCTAATGGCTGTAAAGTCTTCCTGGTAAAAATATACCAAATGTTAAACTCATTTTCTTTACTTTAACTGTGATCTATTTCTTTTAAATTAATATGAAATCTAAGAAGTTCCAGTACAGCAATCCTAATTATAATTTTTCAGGTAAACTAATAAAATAAAACATATCCCTTGGACGATACATTTTTTCCGTTGTTGGAAGAATGTGTGGATTGATGTTAAAGCTTTCTTATTTGGTATTTCTATTAAAATAATGTCAAGCAATATTTTTGTTTAATAGAAGTAGATAAAACATACATATTGTACCTAAGATTATTTTAGGGACTCAAATAGATTGTTTTAAGCATTTAAGTTCCAATGCCATAATAAAATGTTGCAAGGCTTTCTGATTTGTTTTCAGTAGAAAATATCAAGTGCCTATTTCAGAAACCATTTCCTGCATGGATCCCCAGGAAATCATGTATCTGCCATGGATCCCTTTGCTCCATAGCAGGATATGCCATCTTTGCCAAGTCCTCCCTGCTGAAAATTATTCTCTTCTGCTGTTATGAACAGCCAGCACTACCTATAGCACAGACTAGCTTAGGGAGTTTTTTTTTTTTTTTCTAGTGGTAATATATATGTAACCATAAGATTCTGGGGCTAAGCATCAATTTGCCAGCATAAGATTACGATACCCAAGAGTTTTGTGTATTTTCCACATTGAATCTTTCTTTTTGTTCATCAGTTATCCTCCTTCTGACAGGAAATGCTTGTCATTTTATTCAATACTATTCTTCAAAGTAGAAACTACTCTCCACTCTGGAAAGACACTTATTTATAAGAAAGAATCCTCACACTTTGCATTACCAGTTACTTCTTAAAATTTTAGAAATACAGAAAATTCAGTGCAATATATCTTGCTGAAACAAAAATAAGTATAAGAAGACAGAGTTAGCAGCAGAAAATTCAACTTCTGCAAGATGTTTTTGGTCAAGACAGAATCTGAAAAATCACTTTGCACTCTGAAACCCCCTACTTTAATTATGAAAATACACTATTGCTGACCTGTTGGTAAGGTTGCCACATGGTTGCCACAGACATGGCTATTATTTTCTCCTTACACTCAGTACTTCAAAAAATACTTGTTTTTTGTTAGATTTGGTACAGATGCTGAAATGCTGCTGCATCAATTCTTATCCTAGAAATTCACAAATCCTTATTTTCAGTAAGTAATTAAGCAGTTACACAGCAATGTGTATTGGAAACTGAATAAAACCATCAGAATTAAGAAGTCAGACAGTGCATACTTAAGAAAAGAAGGTATTAAGAGAATCAAATGGAAGCATTTAATTAAAAATTACATCTAGGTCCACCAATCTCCCTTTGAATTTGTCATTTTTTTTCAATAGGCTCCATTATGTATATTATAAAGAAGTAATGCTTAGCCTGTAGGCAGCATTTCCACTCTCTGTTTACTATTTCTAGATGCCTATACCATGCCACAAAGCCAACTGTGTGATCACAGGCTTGATTATTTAATCCAAAATGCATATATGAATTCAGATTGTCATTTGAATAAAAATTTATCTAAAAAGCTTGGACTTTCACATGAATCTTACTATACCTGGGTAAGACTACACTAAATAGTCTTTGGAACAGCATACTCTTCATCACAATAAAGGTAGACCAAGTAAATATTTGTGAATAGACATCTTCCTTGTTAAGGAACATCAAAAGAAGATGATTTGGTCCCTATCACTTCAAAAAAGTATTGAACAGGAGGATGACTTACACAAGGTCACATGATCTATCATTGCCACCCTGGTTGAGGATCTCCTGACACACAGGATAATATTGTCATTGTACTGTTTTGTTTTATTTTGAAATTCCAGAGAAACTGTGAGAATCTATGTGTAAGGCTATACAAGAAAATCCATTGAGGCACAACTGTAATTTTTATAGGGTTCTGCAGCAGCATGCAATTAGAAAGAACTAGCTATAGGGCCTGGATTCTTTATCCTCAGTGTCCAAGGTGAGAATGGTCCAGAAAAGAAAAAAAAAAAAAACCTATGTAAAAGCAATCATTCCTATAAAGGCTTACACTAAATGATCTTGGAAGAAGTATATGTAAAAAGTTTCTGGAGTACGTGCCAGTACAATTTAAGTCAAAGTTATCAAGAAAAATGTATCCTGGGCATTAAAAAACTTGATCTATTTTAGTTTATTAGTAAACAATACCTTCTATGCATTAATTAATGCCAATCAATTATCAGCAAATGCTACTTATATATTAAGCATCATGTTTATTAAATAAAAAATTCAATAATTTCTCCAATTGCCAATGCTTTTGTTTTGAGTGGTAGCATTTTACAAAGGAAAAATAGCTTCCTCCATCCACTGCACTGAAGATGGCATTATAGTACCAGAATCAAGAATTTTCTTGTATTTATTATTTCTATCCAAAAATTCAATTTTTAGCTTCACTTTGAGCTAGTAAATGAAGCACAAAGTTTGGTATCATTTTATCCTCTTTGGTAATTGTATTTGGGTCATTTTTTAAAAATTTACACTTAATTAGATGCAATTATAATTTATTCCAGTGAATTATAGTTGTTGTAGTTTAGGTTGTAGATCAATAGAAAATACTAGAAACAAGTGAAAATTATCTTCACTATAAAAAGATGTACTCATTAATATTCATTGCAAATTCATTTTACTGAAATAGAAAGTTATCTTTAAAAGAAGAGGAAAAAAAATGTCTTCAGATTTTAAGGATTTTGATTCTTCAGTCTTTCTATGCTTTTTTAAGATTTGGGGAGCATTCTGTGATGGCTGTTAATGCAATTATGATTTTGTTTTAGTTCAATACTATTAGTGAGAAACTCATCAAAGGTAACTATGCCATAGTCTCTGAGCCTTTTAATTACAAAATCTATTCCTTCAGGTACTGGTAACTCATTCAAAATTAACAGATTTATTCTTTGAACTCCTGTTTCACTTCTATTAGTCACAGTGTTAAATGAATAAATAACCTTTGCTTAATTAATTTTTTATTAAATTTAAGAAAATTAGAGAGAAATAAAAATACTTCTCTCAATTCAAGCACTAACATATTTAAATGTTGATGAGGGCAAGACATATTGATCCTTCTTTCTTATCTCCATAGTCATGTAGCCCTGATGTTACTACCACTTTATCCTGCACTGGAAGTCCCACAACAGCTCACTCAACACCTTCTTCATGACAGCATTCATGTACTGTAACTCATACTAAAACTTTTTATGTTTAAAGCTGTTTTTTGTTTATTAGTGTATTTTCCTAATTCACAGCCAGATACCAGATTTACAGTTATTTTAAAAGACAATGTCAAGAGGTAGGAAAAGAGAATGCATTAATCAAACAGATGATAATATTTCAGGCATATGACAGACCAGGCCTTTCTTAGATTCCTTTATCATTATCACATGTCAAGCCAGTACAGCTCAGATCAGTAATGAGTGAGATGGACTTAAATATACTCTCAAGGAGTCATATGTGAGACTGTTATAAAGACTTTTCTTTAATTCAGTCTAATTCACTATCAGATCGGAACAAAGGAGCAGGGTCAGCCACTTAAAGATCTTCCTTGGAAATGACATTCAAATTAAAATACTGAGAAGTTCGTATTAGTTGTTGACCACAGGTTGGAGGAGGTACTTGAGGCTAAGGGAACATTATGAGCTATGGCACCCATGTGTTGAGGAAAGTAATAGCAGCATCACAATAGTAGACATTTCTAACTATATGTTGACATTTTTGCAAAGTATCAGAGAACAAATATTAGAGAATTCAGCATCCATGGTATCTCCATTACAAGTAACTGACTATGCTCTCGTAGGATAAGAAAGAGAGAAACAATAAGTAAACTTATTGATGTTTCTGTGTTTCAAATAACATTTATTGATAAAAATAAAATGGTGAACAAATTTTGGCCTCTGAGTCAAGGGGCTGAATGTCAAGCTAGTGAAGAGCCTGATATGAGTAGAATTTATTCCTATACATTAGGAATTCAACAAAAGTTTTCAAAAGCAATGCCATCATAAATCTTGTTTAAGACAAGACAAGCTATTATCTGGTATATGGAAGATCAACTAAAAGGAGTGAGGAGCAGAATTTAAGTGGGGAAAATATTAACTCACTTAGTAGTTGAAGCTGCCCTGGAATTCATGGAGAACCACCTGTCTCTGTCTTGTGAGTAAGTGCAGAGATTAAAGTAAGCACCACGATGACCAGCTGTGAGTTATACA